ATAATAGTGGGTAATCTCATAAAACGATTCAAGAAAACATGGCCGCAAAATCAAATCTAAAATGACCAAGAAAATATATATCACCATCATCATTAACCCATTCATACGTCTCACTACTGGAAACGGGCTTTCTCTCGGATAAAAAGATTTTGGTCATAGTGCGCTGGCCCAAAGCGAGTTGAGGACTTCACACGTGCTCCGAAGGTTGTGAACCTCCTTGGACGTGCAGGTAACATCACGACGTTTTCCATCACCGATAAGCGTAAATTTGGAATTAAATCTATATATATAAATAATTAGTCCACCGTTATTTAGAAATTCTTTCTCCGTCGATTAAACATGGTAGCATTGAACAAGGAAAGAGGTAAAGGCTTACTATAAGGGCCTTGTTAGACGCACGACCGCCCCGGAGGTCGTAAGTGGGCCTTAAACTACGGAATAAGGCGGATTTGAGTGGAGGAAATGTTGAAAGCTGTAATGGTGCGAAGGTCAATTGTTCTGATACCCACACGTACTATACTCGTATAGTATGTACGTCGAATGAAGTAAGTGCACAAAAAATTACATGATTTTACAGATAGCTTAACTTAAAAGGCGTTTTTCTAGTGCTTCTTTCAATTTAAATATAGAAAAAGGTTTAATGCTGTGAAAAGCATTACAATACTGTGTATATTTTTACAGTATTCCAATCATAGCCAATAAACTAAAAGGATATCGATGCATATCGAGTTCCTAGGTTTTCGCGATTGTTACACATAGGGTGGAGAGATCCCACGAGGGACAACGCATATGCAATCTTATGGATTATTACCACAAGTGTCAATAAACAGTGGTTACCACTGTCAATCATGTGGTTTGAATACCATAAAAATGTAAAATTTGCGATAAAACAATTACGAAAATTCATCCTTGAGTAAAATGAAATGAAACTCAAAATCGATTAGCGACGCCATATCTCGTTTGACGCCCATATTAGACACGCTCTAAGTAAAGCCGAGGGCAAGGTTATTATTATTAATACACAAGGCTTCAACCGTTAGAACTCGGAACTTTCAGACAAATATTCACATGAAATTGAGATTTTTAAAATATAATACTAAGAAAAGGGACGAACAAATCGGGCGCCACGTCTGGTAAGCGACACGCCTGTCCATAATAGTTGTGTAGTAGCAGTGCCACTTTATATCACAAAGATCTGAGGGGCACTGCCACTGTGTCCGATACCCTGAGTATAAGTTAACAAGTCCCATGTGCCTGTAATTTCACCAGCACCCTTAGAAACTGGAACGCAGTCATGCTCACACTACTGCTTGACGGCAGAAATAGGTAAAGTGGCAGTACTTGCCTGGACGAACTCTTTCACAAGGAGCTCTACTGCTACAAGATCAATTGATCCAGCTATCTATGCTTGTTGTAGAGATGGTTTTTATACGAAGGTCATCTATGTAAACTAACAGATCAGCGCTTTTAATGACTCAAGTCGAAAACGGGCACTAAGAGGAAAATAGCATTACAAAACTGCACGTCTTTTCACGTCTTCACAAACCATGACACATAACATATTATGTTAATAACAATTAAAGGGGATAATTAATGACTAACTTAACCGTCATTATAACAATATGGCTGAAATTATCGTAGACGCGATATATGCTGGCAAAATGGTACTTAAAATATTTTGAAACCATGAAAATTATCTAGCAGTGGGAAAAGGTTATTTTAAAAGGGGAAGCCTTTGCACTCACGAAATAAATTGTATAGTATCTATAATACTTTGAATTTATTTTTATTGAATATCATGATGTTTTTGCTACCGTGATATTCATCATTTTTTGTGAAAATACTTCACTAGTTTGTTATTATTATTGATACAAAGTTCGAACAAAAACAAAGAAAAAATTCCTTCGATCCGATTGGATTCGAAACAGCATCTATCGCCGCATAGTTTTGTAAGAGCGGTAGTCACGTTGAGGCGACAGACGCTGGTTCAAGTCTTCTTTTGTATTTGTTCGATCTTTTTACCAGTTACCACTTTTGTGACCGTGGTGCAAAACATGTGAAACAGACAGTGAAGTAGGGCTTTATAACTTTACGCTTTGTGGCGCTGTTTATCATGCACACAGTAAACGCGAATAAGGAAGTTTAAATGTTTGTTATGCGATACATCCAGCACAACACCGGAATACGTTATTTCTACGTGTTAAATACGACTTTTGTACATAAGAGTCACGGTTGATAATGATGGTATAATGCAGGCTTTACACAAGGCATAGACGTCATATAATCCGAAATGGTTTCTACAATTCTCTAGATTTACATTTGTGGCATAAATAACAGCAGGAAAATATTTTTTTCTTCTTTTTAGGAAATTTAATTATAATTATTTGACCTAAAATGAAGTATTTGCAACTAGGAAAGAAACGACACAGTTGGGCCGATAAATCGACACATCCGTAGAACAAAGATCTATGTGCAAGACTACTTGTTTTCTGATCATAGTACATTTCGTTCGTTCTTCTTCGCTGTGGATGTCAGATCGACCGTTGTTCGGTTTTATATTTCCGAAACGAAATAAGGTATATAAATTCTCAAAACACCTTAACGAAATTATTCTCGTAACGTCTTTATTCTCTTTTCGCTACATCGGACCCTGTTCTTCGGATGAGTCGAAATATGTATACGACGCGTCATTTGCGTGCATCACTGCACGTAGGTATATGGCACAGATTATAATAATTCAAATAAGACTGGATTCTCCAAAGTACAGTTAATCAGAATAATATCTTGATTATTCCTTAAAACACTATTGATTGTCCAACTAGGACAAATCCGTTTTACAATAATTATACAGCAATCGTAAAAAAATGATTACTTAATAAAGCAAATTATTAATATTAAAAATTCAAACTCTTTACCACACTATTTTTGCAGCCTCGTTAAAAGCCTTGCTACACAACACGTGCTTTAAGACGTTGTTGTACTGCACGTGCTAGTTACGTGTCCTGTGCATGACAGTTCACGTGGAATGTGCGATCGGGCATGGGTCAATGTTCTAGCCTAGCCGACAATCAAGTAATTTTATACTAGCCATTCCTCTCAGGCTCATTGGTTTTAAGACAATGATAAGTAAATTGCATTACGACGCGATAAATGTTTGTTGTATTGGACAACACTAGAAATATATCTAATTTGCTATGAATTATTAATACAAAGATCTAACACTATCAAAAATTCCTTAGATTGGGCTGGATTCGAACCAGCGCATTCCAGCAATCCGTGCTAGATGCTTTTCTAACTAAGCCACGAAACAAACCAGCAGATTTTACGCATTTTTCTATATGCTTGTTGCAGATCTTTGTTTTTCATTTTTAAAGACTTTTTGACGTAGCACCATCTGTGAGAAATCTATTTCCTCACTCAGTCAGGTGCCTTTACAGCTACCAGCAGCTGACTACATATGTCGCTTTAATAATTGTAATTTTCAAGTTTATATCATATTTCAAACAAAAGTGGTGGTTTTTTATATTATTACTAACCTTGTCTTTACTATTCAGCACGGCAGCAGCATGCGGCGGTATCCTAAGCACGCAGTGTGGCCTATGGTGCAGAGGCAACCAGACGCGAGCAGGAAGGTTCAAGTCCAGAGAGGCCAGCTCGGCCCGGAGTCGGCCGTTCCGGCGTTCTTTATCCGCCACACCGGCCAGCCGTCGGCCGATGTTCGTTAAAGCTTGCAAGAACTGAAAAATAAGTATATTATTACACTAGACATATTTTCTCACACACTTACTTGTAAAACTTCAATATTTTACAAAGTTATTAATTAACCAATTAAATAGTAAAATATCCGGAGCAGTGAAGTTTAAGAAATTATGGCTTTAAGCAGTGACGGCCTCAGCAGACATTGGATATTATAATCGCGCGCTACGGTGCTCTAGATAGATTAGCCTTCGTTTACGTCGTCGCACTATAAGAAGCATATATATGTTTATTACACATTTACTTGTAAAACTTCTATGCATTTAATAGTTATAAATTAAAATTAAAAGGTGAATTTATAAGTTTGCAATTAAATAATGAAGTAAAAATAAATAAAAAGGAATAAAAAAGTCAAAAATCTTTTAGCTGTGACGGCTCCAGTAAACGTTAGTTATACCGTACACTACAGTGGTCTAGTCTAGCTAGATAGATAGATAGCCTTTATTAACGTAAACTTCGTCGCACTAAACCAAATATATGTATAGATGTATTACTATTATTGCTAGTAATTACACGGTGTCTTCAAAATATATACAATTAATCGCAAGGTTATTTAGCCGACCGCCGACATCAAGTCCAGACAATAGGTTCCCCGGCTGTACTTCAATTAAAGTGATTGGATTTTATCACGAAACCTTATAGACAATTTAGAACTTTCATTTACCAAATGGGGTGAACTGATTCATTTTAATGATTCGGTTCGATTATTCAAAATGTCACTTGGTCTGCAAGGTACGTATCGGTCAGCTTACACACTCGGCCTCTTATTTTTATAAAAGCTAAATTGCAATACTCGAAAGGCATTACGCGAACGTTTCAACGGCTGCCCAGCCCGTAGATTGGCATTGATAGCGGCTGGTTACCGCCACTCACGACCTATTCAGCTTTTAATACACTTTAGAGCCCCGTAACGTCTATATTTATTTGACAATACATTATTAGGGGGCCCGGATAACTCATATTTACTGTACTTGGTCGAAGGTATTTATATCCCATTGCTTCTAACAAACGTCGACTTACCATACCCCAGGTATAAATAAGTTCCGATGCCTCTGCTAATTTTAAATATTTAAGTCATGGACTAATTACCATCTTATCTTATGTTTACAAGCATGGTATTACTTATCAAAACTTTATCATAACAATCATACCGCCCTACATACATTTCAAGGTCGTACAATTCGTTGGTATGGTAGACACTATAAGTAAAATCCTGGTGTACAGTATAAATAAAAGAAAAACTTAATTACCTGTGTCTGAGGTGCCAGCCGGGGAGCGCCGCATGAACACTGTTCTCCACAAACACATCCGTTATCGAACGCACGTCCCGACGCTAGATCCCCTAAATGTCTCCCCGATGGGGTGACCAGCCGCAGTGCTGACGCGTCTGACTGTGACCTATGGTGTCCTCTCCTAGCAGCGGGTCTGATCTCTTCAGCCAAAATAGAGTCTCTCAACTTGATAGCTTTCGATCTTTTCACATCAGCACTAAAAGCAGTCAATAACCATGCAAGCCGCAAGGAAAACTCCGCACTCTGCTTACACCGGTACACCAAGTACGGCTTCAGCACGTCCGCCACGTCGCCCATCTCTATATACATCGTGGCCAGTTGTGGCAGATAGAAATCGACGTCCTCAAACGGAAACGAAAACAATTTGTTCGCCAGATACGACTGGACACCGGGTTCCTTCGAGTTGAACAGATACGAGATGGCCATGCTCATATCGAACAATTTACTTTCGAATAGCCGGAGTAAAAAGTCTTTGTTCTTCGATGTTTCTGCAGCGGATATTTCAGACTTGGGCGGCTCTACAACAGAATCCGGTGGGTCTGGGGGTTTATCCGTATCTTCTGGATTGCCAGAGTCAAGGCTTTCACGGGATCTGGCTGCAGCGGGCGGCGGCGGAAGCTCTTCGTCCGCGGCGTCGGGCGGCGTGTGAATACCGGAATCGTCGGAGCCAGCGGGTACATCTGGCGGCAACGCTAAGCGCGGCGCGGGTATCTCCATGGGCAGCCGCAGCGGCGCGCCCTCCGGAGATGTCGGTGTCATGTCCTCCGGAATTCTCTGGAGCACCGAGTCGAGAGATCTGTTCCTCTGATGGCCACATCCCGGCGGCGGCCCGTTCGAACTCGTCACATGTCTGCGGACAAGTGAGAACATTGATGAACAAAAGTACTTATATTATTCATTTTCACTAAAGCTATCAAATTCTCAAAATAATTAAAATCACGAGTTATGTAAACTTAATGTTTCCACATCCTACATACTTATAAAACGGATCCTCATAATGTCGTACACCGACGACAATAATCTTCCTGACCATGGTCGCTTATATTTTAGCACTGAAATCCAATCGCTTGTTTATAATGCACATAATCCAATTGACTACACAAACATGGTTGTTTTGCACTGAACACCGTCGAGAACTAAAACAATGTCGCGGAACGATGCATCATTGCGCGTATTGTGAACGAACTGTACGCGAGTTCAACACCGACACGTTGCTCTCGGTGGACGTCGTGCAGCGGACTGGCTGCTTTACGCAATCACAGACACGCGCCCGCATACCATTTGAATAAGCATCACGATTATGCAGCCAAACTTCACTTAAACAACACGAAACAGTAAACAAAGATGTTCTGCCGCTTTTTGGACAACAGGTTTCTATAGTCTTTCTATGAAATTATCACTAAAACTAGTTAGTTATGTGACGTTAATTATTTTTTGTCTTTACAAAATACCTACCATCTGTGCAAATCTACGTCAGGTGTATTTGTAGTATCAGTTGCCGAATTACGTACATATATTGCACATATTAATTGTTTTAATACCAATATTTAACGATACCTATTGAAATCTATTTCGTCACTGAAGAACGACATCATTTCACGTTTAGATTCATCGCACGGATTGCGAAGCCGTTCCTTATAAGACAGAGCATCGTATTAGTTACCGTTGCAAGGAATATTAACTAACAATGTAGTAGAACTAGAAACAGTTAGGATCGTAAAACATGCGTTTGAAATGTAGAGCCATGGTATAAATAACTCTTTGTTTTATACTCAGAAAAATATTACACCATGGCATAACTTATATGAAAGTGCATCATAGAGAAAGCGGACGTCGACCCCAAATAGTTTTATCACTTACGCTATCAATTTCAAAAGATCCCTCTACACGGCGCTCCGTTAAGTGGTTAACGCATTCTCAAAGCGGTCGTGTAGTCATTCAATCAAGAAAGTAGAGGAAGTGGAAGAGCGTAAGCCACTCAAGGCACTCGGGTACTCATTGAGTGTGCATTCCACGCGGCGCGTGAGTGGCGAACGAATTAACATGGTTTATTTTGGGATCGTTATCGGGACTCTGCCATATGTGGCGTCCTCCAAACAACCGAACAGATGTACGGATGAGCCAACAGCGATACGCAAAACTCCATTATTAATCATAATGGATTCTTACAACCACTTGTGCTGAAAAGCTTTATGTTTATTTTAAATTTAACTTCTTTAAACACGTGGAAAAATATGTTACATGCATATCTTAGCAAACAGAATGTTTTGATGGAAGAAGCCATATTTTCATGATTTGCCTCATAAATTGCATTTACATAACGTAATAACCATCGTGGTATTTACATGTTGAATAAGGAAGTACACAGGATTTATAAACTTACACGTTGCCATGAACGTGCATCCTTTTAACACTTGCACAAAGTTAAGCAAGTATAGATATACGCAGGCAAATAAGTACAATGTATATGACGCCTATGTATATTTATTAATTTTCGTAGTACTTGACATACAAATTTAAATTCCATTAAATACAAATGTATGCGAACAATAACAAACATTCGTGACTATATGTCGGACCGATGGCATAAACTGGTAACTCTGGAATGATGCCAAACTGATTTGTTGCTCCATTTAATTACAGTATTAATTGTTTCCAACGGATCATTAATTTTGACGGGCTACTGAGTGCATACAAAACGTTTTAAGGACAACTGGTCGAAAATAGAGAAATTTCATTGTATTCAAATTTAGAAAATGTTAAACTACTTTAACATTTCCACACATCTTCATCAGCTACTCATTTCCCTCTTCCCCGTATAATGAAGCAAGTAGAGTGCTGTTGTACTGATAGTGCTGATACATATACTTAATGAACATCGTCACTTCACCTAAGTGAATCGATCGACTTAAATAGCCGCAATCGGGTCAAACTACTATAATCGATGGATTTACCGACGTGACCTCGCGTGCCTTACATTCAATGAACTGACGATTCAATTACATCATAATGGATATACGAATACGAGTTAACCATAGCTGTGTGTTAAAGCAAATAGGGCTTGACTTGTATTAAGATAAAAGACGCTTGTTTACAAACCTTCGATCATAACAGATTATTAAAGCTAGATTAGTTGAAACGTGCGAAAATCGATTGTATCCGATTTCTTTGATTGAGGGGAAGATAATTTCAACTTGATGATATAACAGCAGTGGAGAGTTGTACACCGAGACGTGTAATCTCACAATTTATCTTCCTTTATGCGTCTCAAAAGATGAAAGTTGCACAATTTCAATTATTCTATACAATACTTAATGATAAATTTGATAATTAATAAATCAATAGAAACGCCAATAAAATCATTGCATGACTGGCGAATAAAAAAACAAAAGCTATGAGAGAACAGCCAGCAAACAAATCTATTAGGCAAGTATAAGAGTAAATAGAAAACTATTTACATTTATACAACTATTGATTGTTATTGCCTCTTTATTGTTTCCAATTAGGGTCCAGCGGTCACACAATCTTGCCGTTCACCCTAATATGCAACTAACTGACCAACTGCTATGTCATATGAGTTGTGGCGCTAGCGTCTATTATGTCTATACCTAGACATTGCTTCTGCGTCTGTGCAGTGTTACTACAGTGACTTATATTGCATTTGCCGTTTTTCGCAGTGGTAATGCTTACATTACCACAGCTAAAAACGACAAATTCCAAGTTCTTAAACTTTTATTCCATATCATACATAAATTAATAGATCTGTCACACTAATTTGCGTCATTAATACGCCATTAAGAATCAATACTTGTTCGCCTCTCTCTATGCAATTTCCAAACGCTTTAATTCATCGGAAAATCTTCAAGTTATTAAACCTTAAAATATGTATTATAAACATTACTATACTGAAATAATAAAAATATAAGTAATGAAAAAAGATCAAAATACGATGAAATATGTCGACGTAAAATAAATAGACATTGAACGCATACAAGAAAAACATGACGTCAATGGAAACATTCTTGTCTCCGTTCAAGTTAAATTGTTTAAAAAACATACCCATTATATTAATAAATCTCGGTTTTAAAGTAAGCAGGTTGCTGTCGAAAAGTAAACGTAGACAGGTGATTGTTACCGGAGGCTAATTAAATACAAATTCATCGTGTGTTTCTCTCTCGCACCGCCGTAAGTGGAACCTTACTGTGACGTCAACATCAAACAATAGTGAATTGATTAGATTCGCCGCTGGCCACCATATCGCCTATTGTAGCCTGTGAAAGCAGTTGAGTGAGTGGCTTCTGCTAACAGTTTCGATGAACAATCAATACCGCGGGAACATAAATTCTCAGTTCTGAATGAATATGCATATTAACCTAACTGTTGAGATGGTTACTTTCGCGCTTTCATTTCTACTTATATAAATAAATACTACAGTCAGCTACTTTCAAATGATTTGAACTAACTAAACATATCCACAAAAACTCAAAATGGGTACACTTTACCTTCGCGCTTCGTATGAGTTCGCGATCAAAGTTTTTGTACATTTGACAAAAATTACGCTATATTGACGGTGCATTCAAGGTTGCAACTATTTCAAATATTTTTTATTAACGGAACATATTGAAAACAAGATCTTTTAAATATCGACCCGATTCATAAACATCTATATACAATTTCAGAGTTACAGGAACAAGAGCATAAGCTGACATGAACAAAGTACATAAAGAGCACACTATACGGTGTCATGTTTTAGTAAATGAAGTGTCAAACTTCATTACGCACAATGATGTATGAAAAGGCATGTTTTAAAGTTTGTAAAGACACTAAAAACTTGTTTAGTAAATGTTTTCAGAGGTAATAATGACTTGAATACAAAATAATGTACGGCCTCGTATATTTTTAATTTATTATTTACAAGGTTAAATTGTCTTTTAATGTGAATGTAAGATTTTATACATATTTTGGTATTCAACTTGAAGACTCGCAAATTATTACGCGTGATTATTTTAAAACTTTTACTTGCTTGCACTTTTCTCAAAGTTTCTCGGACTGAGACTGCGTTACAACTTGTTGGAGGTAGTTAAGCAATTAGATTATATTATAAAAGTTATGATTTCCAAGTGTAGTGCGCAGAAATAGCGACGCTTGCTACATCACAGTGGCGAAAGTAAACGCCTCTCCGACCTTGTCGTCTTTAAGGCTTCGTATCACTTTCTTGTGTGTGGTATTTAATTTCATACTAAAACAGACTATAGCCGGTACAAATAAAGCTTGATCCAAATAGTACTTTCCTTGGAGTTTTTCTTTAAAATGAAGTCTTTGAACGGCGGTATTGCCCATGTAACCTTTCCAAAAGATATTAAATGAATCAAAGCCTGTAGTTGTAAAAGAATAAGCAAATATTAAGGTTAATTATTATGAAAATTGTTCACTTTCTTTTAACGATTGAGAATTAACGTTAATGTTCAATTTTTATACATTTTACTACAAAATTTTTCAGAGTCCAATGAATACCTTCAACCCTAACGAAGGCTTGATGAAAATTGCAAGATTTGTTTCGTTTTAATATAAAACAAATCAATACAATTTATATTTTTCTCTATTTAAATAGACTCAGCCACAATCTCAATGATGTGATCGACGAATGGTGCGCGTTGATCTAAAAAATGCCAATTCACTTTTGTCTTGAATAGCCCGAAATTGTAGTATTCTGGTAACACAGATGCCGGTGGTGCATTCCATTCCTTAGCAGTACGCATTTGAAAGGAGGGAGCAAATGATATATATAATGGACGGAGTGATGATTTAAAAATCTGTGGGGGCAAAAATTGTAAAGCCCAAAAATACATA